CTCCGAGGCTCCATGCTCAAATGGCACCAGAACCGGAAGGAGTCGTTCGGTCTGGAAGCCCATATTTTTGTTGATAGCCTGGTCCCCTATCTCGGTGGCATCACACAGTGTGATTCACACTCCGCTTCCTCTCCGACTCTCCGACAGCCCTCTCCTGGTCGGGCCGGGTCGGGCTGCCCGACTCAGTCGGGCCGAGTGACTTGCAAGCCCATCGAGCGCATTGCCATAGCCCGTCTTTGTGATGCGATTGCGGATGTCCGCAAGGTTTGGAGAATGAAATACCATGTCGTACGAGAGTTGCTACACGTGGCCGCATCTCAGAACGCCGAGTCGGATGGACTCAGTCGGTTGACGTTTTCTTGGGGTATCCCTGAAAACATCATATTTGAAGGGCGAGGTATGGCCGGGGCTCGCCCGCCATTCGACCTGGCAGAGGACGCCACTGACCAAGAGCATGGAAAGCTATAAGGGCCTAATAATTAGGCTCAGCATCTTCACAATCATCAAGCACCTTAGGTGAATCTACTGTCCTTGATCATCTAAGGGTCATCTCTTCGACGGGGGGCGCCTCACAGGTTCCTCTCGATTTTCAACTCGGGCACGGTTCTCCGCCAAGAGAGAGGTTACATTCTTTACAATGGCTCTCCTCGACATCTGCCTCCGTCAGTGTGGTAAAATGTGCGCATGGTCAACCACATGTGTTGGTGACAATATGAAAACTCTGAGGAAAAATTGGAAAATCCTTGTTACTTTCTGTACCGTAATCGTATATATTCTCCCAATTCATATATAAAATCCTGTGATTAGCGAGGAGAATTTTGAGCCTAGCTGAGGCAAGCGAACATTTTTTGCAGCACTGGCCTCCGTTCTCAGGTTTCAACCCCTCCTGATGGACTCGGGGCGTGCCTTAATGGCACGCCCTTCATCACTTCTCCGACATGGCCTTCCGACTCTCATCCTTCTCCCTGGCTGACGACGGCCCCCTGATGAAAAAGGTCAACGGCGTTGCTTCAACTCGCATTTGCTATTATGTCCCGACGGACACCTCTGAGGGGAGGCACTATGCGCATTCTCTGGTTGAGGTCTATCATAAGGAATCTGGCGGCCTGAATAGCCGTTATGTCCGTTGGTTGATATCGAGGTGTTTCTACATCCATAAGCTTTGCACTTATGTAGAATCTGTCTGTCGCGCATGTGAAGGCTGCCAGGTTGGAGCCTCCAATCGTCGTTACTTCTCGACCGTGGATTCTGCCCGCTCTTTGCGCACTGCGGCGCGAGAGTGCTAGCACACCGTTTCTGCAGACCTCGCAGTTTGCGAGTCGCAGAGATGGGTTGAGACAAAAAGCGTCGCTACTCTGCGGTTCTTCTGATGACTTGCCATTACAGAGGTTATTGTACTGCATCCCCTTTGAAGGATCAAAGAAGCCTCACAGTGGCCGGCGTAATGTCTCGCCTGTTTGATCTTCTGGGGTATCCCGTTCGCCTCCGGACGGACGGAGGGCCATGTTTCAAGGGTCGGCCTCTGGCTGAAATATTATCGTTCCTTACCTCTGTATGCTGCCTGTTAGAATGGTCTGGCCGAAAAGGCGATTGCCAGCCTCAAATTTCTGGCCAGTCAGCTCGGTGATGAGAGAAGTTGGCCATCTACGCTAGGCCGAGTGCTGCATCGTCTCAATGGTAAACCTTTTCTCGACACTGGTCTGTCTCCTTTTGAGATTTTCTCCGGTCGTCCCCTCCGTCTCAGCCCTGAGAATGCTCTGGAGGCGGGCAAATTGGGTGCCAATGGTCACACTGTTCAGTCTCGCCAGGCTGTGCGTGATGAGATTGACCGCTTAGTTCAGACTGCACGCAGCAGCGTCTTGATGATGCTCGTGGGTTACGTCGCCGTGGCCCTCCTCCGGTCGGTACTGATATCATCGTTTTCAACCTTGACACTCTGGGATGCGGAGGGAAATATGATCGCACGATCCACCCGGTGGATTCCACCGTGTCCTTGAGATTATTCGTGGCGTTGTCCTGAAGATGGTAGATACCAAGGTGCCAGAAGACCAAGTTATTCCCAGCATGATTAAGGAAACTCACTACGCTAATGTTCGTCCTTACTATCGCCCATTCGGGGGGCATGTGGTTTGATGGATGGTCGATGGTGGCCTCACGGCGTGAGGCTCACGCACAGGGTGTGCGTCACAGTGTGATTGCGTGCAACCATGTGTCAGCGTGTTTTTGCTCGGGCCGAGCAATGGCCAGTCTTTTATTCGTACAACCCAAGTCTGAGTCGTAGTAGACCCCATCCCATAAGATTTATGTCCAAGTAGTTAGTTATAGACCTTGAGACTTAATGGTATCTTCTATGAGTCGTGTTCACGAGGCGAAGCCCGGTCAAACTCTCACAGGAAAGTATCGCAACTACTCGTAATACAGTTACTGTGGGACAGTATTGTCGTCATGTGTCTCATCTTTGGCAGTCACCTAGCCCAGAAAGCACCAGGTCCATTCCAACGGGTATCCAGCTTGCCAATAGCGATCCAATATTGGTGTGATGCATCCGCCTTGGCTAAACTCCACCGTAACGGAGCACCAAATGCTCTAAGATAAGGTACAATTTAAGCTGCAAATGATAACCGACCACAAAAACTTCTCAGCCTCGTTGTGGATATGCAAACCTTCTCAACAAATAGGGAGCTCAACCATCTCCAGAATACCTTGGAGCTCCTCGAGCAGCAACGTTACCAACATACTCGCCTCGGACCGCAATAGTTCAACTATTATAGTTGGAACCCTACCTATCGGACAGGGAACAATACCTGTCTTTCGGAACAAAAAAACTTGATTTAAATCCACGTGCCAACCAAAGTAAGATTGGCAAACAGAGCCGTCTTCGAACTAACTTACTTGTAACGTCAACTAGCACACTACTACCATCATCAAAGCCGCGGTGACGTTCGTTGGTGGCCGCTAGGTGATTCACGACCGCTGAGCTGTGACTTGAGATTTTCAAAATTAGTCAATGTATGAACACCTACGATGAACCCAATCTTTCCTCCCAATTATCGTAGTAGTGTTAATGACA